CCCCCCACTACAGTAACACCGCACCAGGGGAAAACACAACCAGTAATCAAAGCTGCCAGCCTACAACACACAACGTTCGGGGACACTTCGTTCTCTTTAAGAAAAAGACTTGGGTCTCAGAGGCCGGGAAGAGTATCAAAGTAGCTTCTATCCTACCTACCTCAGAGACAGGATAAAGTCTTAACGCTGACCCGACACCGGGCTGAAAAGCTACAACTGCAGGGTCCACAGAGGAGCCCATTCTGTCTCCTACATTCTAGAGAGCACCAGGCTCACTTGGGCTTTCTTAGGTGGCAAACGGGGGAAGGTTAAAACGGACTTCACGAGAACGCTGAGGTTCTGATTTAAAACAACAAGGAGGCCCAGCAGAACAAGAGAAACGGGCGAAGGTGTCCTATGTTCTGAAGCAGGAGTAAAGGACGAGGACAGCGAGCGGCACCCCGCACGCCACCCCGAACCAGGCACGGAGGCTGACGAAGAACAGTGTGTGCGCCGCCGCGTGGACTTGCTCCGGACAGATGGGAAAGCCCTCGCCTGCAGGCCGGGAGCTGAACCACAGGCATCTCGCCAGAAGCCACGTGCTGGGGAGGGAGGCGGCTACCACGGCCTGAAACCCAATTCTCCCCGGTTCTCCTTTTGAGCAGCGCCCGGAGGTTCCACCCCGCCGACACCTGCTGCAGAAATGCCTCTTCTGCTCCCTCCTGATCACTCATGCGGGTGGCAGGGAATTATGGCATGGATAATCCAAATCGAAGGTGATTAAAAAATAAACCTTATATTTGGCTTTGGAAGGCAACTTTTCCTCAGGTCCGAAAAAAGCGGTTATCTAGTTTGCTGAGAACCTGAAACTTCACTTTTCTCTAACTTGAGAGACCTCTCTCCCCGCCACCACCCCCCCCCCCCGTGCTCACTCACGCCCTTCCATGTTGTCCCCTTTCCTGCCCATGGAGGTGACACTATGTGACACGGGGCGGGGGGAGGCCAGCCTCACGGGGGCACATTTGGTAAGGTGCGCCAGGGCTGAGTGAGTCGCGGGTGAACGCAGAAGGGCAGAGACAAGTTCTGGAAGGCCAGGCTGAGCTTGGACAGGTGAATGAAAAACAGGACACGTAGCACTCACACCCGTTAAACCCAAAAGAAAGAAACGGATTCTGCTGAATTGCGCCCTCGTGTTTTCTAAGGTAAAATGGGACGTGTGGTGCCTTCAAAGACGTAAAGAATCATGAAGTCATTCTTCCAAGCAGGCGGCAGAAGCCGGGCTCTGAGTTTATTTACAGATTAGAAACTTGGCCACACAAGGGAGAAGGTCCCTCCCCAGTTGGTCTGTTTCTTTTTTCTCCCTTTAACTTTTTTGTGCCTTTGGACTTTGGACTATGACGTTTTGGGGTTCATAAAACCGAAAAGTGTTCCTTTAAATGCTTCATAGACAGCACGCAGACACTGAATGTATTAGAAGTGTATGTATGTGAATACACGTACGTATGTACAGATATACGTGTGTCCACCCATATTTGCATCGTCTGTCTGTCTCCCTGTCTAGTCGTTCATGTCCCTAGGGAGACACATATAGCCACTGACGGACCCAAGTAACCTCTATGCAGAAACTTAGGGGAAAAAAGGAAACAAACCTCCCTGGTCCTCATTAGTTCTAAGTCTATTAGAGCTTCTATGAAGATGCAAATCCGCAAAGAACTTCCAAGTTTCAGACACGATTTTTGCTAATAAAGCTACTAATGTGTACTAAACCCACCTAAGTGAAAACTGTTACTGTACTGTACTTAAAGTTACATAAAAAGTGCTCTGGACTTGGAGAAATCCGAGTCTGGGAAGCACCGTACGGCTGTGTCATTACTGAGAACTTAATTATTAAAAAACAAAAAAACAAAACACGAACCCCACACTGCCTAGAACTGTCATCCCGGCCAAAGCCGGGGACTGTTGAAGTCACCGAGAAGTGAGTCTACCGCTTTGTTAAGCAGATCTCTTTGGAGCCGCCGCTGGAGTGACAGGAAGTTCCTGCCTTGCCTCCTCTCCCCACCGCCGCCCTGCTCTCCGGAGCCCGTCTGTGGCCCTCAGCCCCATTCTCCAGACACGGCAGGGAGAGGACCTCCTCACACTCCACACCTCTGTCAGATTCAGAGGGAGTTAGGGTCAAACACCAGAGGTTAGGAAATCAGAAGGGCCAGAAGGCACGGCCAGACTGCCGGCATTCACAAAACGCTGTGACTTCACAAAACTTCCTGCGAAGCACCCCCTGAGCCAGACATGGCCCACAGGTGAGTGACACGGTCAAGGGACCTTATTAAATGACCTGCCCTAAGTTCTCTATACTCAGGACTTTATATCAACATGAAACCTCACTTTAAATGTGAGTGAGAAATTGAAACTAATATATATAAACTAATATTCTATCATGGAGACCCGCATAAAATTCTTAAATTTATCTATACTGGTTGTCTCAAATTAAAAAAAAAAAAATAGTTTGGAACATATTTCTTACTTTCAAAATGATCCAGCTGATTTGTCACTCAAGCATGCTAAGAAGTGTTTACTAGAGGCCTGTCCGGCAGAGAAGAATTATTTTTCCTACTTCTAGAGGGTTCCATGAAGTGGATAAGAGCCACAGGAACGGGAGCCTGTGGAGAGCTTTGTCAGGAAGGCGGTTTTGTGTCTGGGATTGCCTCATGCGCACATCAGCAGTCAGTCAAACCAAAAAGACGTCAGAAAAAGTCCTCCCCAGAACAGCCATGGAATCAGATTTCACGAGAAGGAGATCCACTTTCCAGATACCTAACTGTAATAAGCACTCCCTAAGATTAAATCAGCCGCCTCAAGTTCCGAGGGCATCAGCTTATCTACACGTAGGTTGAGGGCATTCTCTTTCTTAAAGCGATTCCCCAACAGGTTCGGAAGCACCTTGATAATTGACACTTTATACCACAGAGCTTCACTGCAGGGGCGAGCAATGCGTAGCGCTGGGAGTTCACACCAGGCTGAGTGGCCGGTTTCAGGACTCTCCAGATGCTTCCGTAGGGGCAGAGAGGCTACCGCCAGGCCGGAGAACTCTGGGGTCAAGGAAGAAGGGCCTGTAGGCACCAAGGCTCACAGTGGGCCAGGTGGGGACCCTGGGTGCACCGGCAAGGCACGAGCGTGGCAGCGAGGGGCTGCTGTCTCTACAAGAAGGCCCCTGCTGCTCAACAGCCCCCCCTGTGGGCTGGCCGCCCCTGCCCCTAACCCCGGGAGGCTGGCTTCCGAAGGGCAGGAGCGTTAAGAATCAACGGAGAAGCCAGCCTAGCACTGAAAACCCACTCCAGACCTGTCCTGTAAATGTGAATGTGAACCTGACTTAGTAACCGCCCTGACCACAGCAGGACAGCCTACTGGGAGGCCCAAACACGGGGTCGGCAGAGCCACAAGCAGCCTCATCCTGACCCTGGGAAAAGATGAGGCTTAAAGGCTAAGAAAAAAGAAGCCAAGCGAACATTCAGTGCCGGGTAGGAAGGGGGCTATGTCAACCTCCCCCCGCCCCCCCGACACCAAAGCAACTCGGTGCCAAGATGGGGTCCTGGCACCATCTGTCCGTCTGAGGACCTGGTGCCTTGAAAGAGGGGCTTGTGCCGTTAGCTCCCACGTCAGGTACGCGCCTGGTATCCAGTCAAGGTAGCGAAACCACCGGCCGCCTCTCCAAGAACCACTGCTGGGCGAGGGACAGATCCGGGCATGTCACTTTTAGACCCCGTTTTCTCCCCCACAAAGGGCAGAAGCAGCTAATAAATGGAGAGTATTGGGGACAGGAGGGTGGGGTGGCAAGGAATTACTGCAACTGAAACTTTCACTAGAAAAGACCGTAAGGACACACGAAGAGTGTGATTCTCACCCACCGGTCGCTACTACGGGATCTTTTAAGCAACCACACAGCCAGTGCACAGGTCTGCATAACACGTATGTCTGAGGCACTCGCTGAACCATTCGGTTTGTTCAAGTCTGAAAACTCACCCAATTCCGCTTTGTCGTGACCAGGGGTGAAACATTCCCTGGAAACATAATCAGTACAAACCTTCCTCTCACATACCTCAAACTTCCTATTTTTAATGCTTTTGCCTAACTGGTAAGTAACCCCAAATCATATCCTAGTGCATAATCTGCCTCCGGAGGGGACTCATAGGTGGCAACTAGATTAAGCATTTAAAATAAAAACAAAAAGCAAAGCTTTAGGCATGACTCACTTGCTGCAAAGAAGAATCCTGTGAGAAACCCGTTTCTTTAAAGTCAATTTCATCATCACTGGATGAATGAATATGGCAGGTTGTAACCTATATGCATAAAAATGTAAAACACTATTTAACAGAGAAAAGTTTTGGACATTTGCATCAGCATTTTTATGGAAAAATCACATTTAGTTTTTCTCTCAATGTGTAACAACAGCAAAGCACAAAAATAAGTTAACAGTTAAGTTACAAAATCCACCCCAATAATCCAAAAGCCCATTTCACTCAACCAGACGGTCAGGTTGCCCGCCCTTCTGCTGCCCACTGGTGTTCTCGCGCTCGTTCCTAGTATCACCGGAAACCAGGGAAGAGGGGAGTTACTGCATTTGAGGGATTGTAACAATCATCTCCAATTAAATGTTTACAAAGGGCAGGTGGAAGGAACGGCTCAGGTGAAGTATAAAAATAATTCGTATGTGCCAAGCTCAGAGAGTGAAAATACCAGGCCCAGGGGTTACTCATGGGTCCCCGGGAAGGTCAGGTTTAGATAGGAGCACTTTTACTTCTCGCGTCCCCTGTCCACTCTGAGAAGAACGTTGTCCGTAAACCCTAGAGTGGACTTTGAACCAGTAGAACACCCTGCTTATAAAAAGACCCCAAACCTTCTGTCCCTTAAAACATAGTCCCTGCCCTCAAGACTTACAACCAACTCAAATTAAACAAAACACGAACATGAACTGCTCACCAATTCACGGTGATTTTTATTCATTCATAAACGACACACGGCATTGAGGGAACGTATTAACAGTTAGAAATGAAAATACACAAGTGACTAAGCACGAGTAACAGGGACTGCTGTATAGCCAGTAATAAATATGAACAGTCTGTAAAATCCTAAAACCAGCACTGTACTTCTGAGGGTAACTTGCACTGTATTTCCTGAGTTACTCACCCTGTACTTTCCACAGAAGCATAACCGGCAGAGGGCACGGTCATCAGGGGAAGACGTGAGCGGCCGTGACCTGCTAACCCTTGAAACTGTGTCTAAGAGCCTGAACGGAGCTACAGAAAGTGGCCTGGTTTGTTCTGTGATGTTCCAACACTGGACCGAGAAACCCAAAGGAGACTCCCACAGGTCTGCGTGTGGTATGGCTTATGAAACGGAATACATCACCGCTCGAATAAAATCAATCTCTTTTCTCTTCGACCATCTCTGGCAACGATGCTGAGCTAAGCGAATTGCCCGCATTTCCAATTAATCCCCCCGCCCCCTTCTCCCTCAGGTAGAGGTGGGTGTGCACGCTCGGAATCTGAAACTGGCCAGATGAGGTCAAAGGCAGAATCTGTGACCAACGAAGGGAGTGTGCCGGGGTCAATCGTAGCTTCCGCGAGTTAGTGGGAAAATCGTGCAGATGGGGCCCGAACGCGGGAGGGGGGGAGGCGGGATCCTGCTCGGTCACGGCAGCCGGGGTCACGGGAGGCCCTGCCACTGTGGCGGGTTCGGAGGAGACCCGGGGCTGCTCGGCGGCAAGCCAGTGCGAGAATCCTATTATGTTTTAGGGGGCGCCCCCCATGGTAGGGTGCAGGATTAGAAGACAAGCCAAAGAGCAAGCCAGGTCAACTAGACAAGAGAGAACAAAAAAAGACCTGGCCACCCCTGGCGGGTCTTGTCCGAGTTCAAGCAGGATACAATGTTTCCTCATTCACAGTGTTACCTTTCGCTACAAAATACATCGGTTCATTGACAAAAGGTGACAAAGAAACCCGTTTCTGTTGAGCAACCACTACGTGCCAGACGTATAGTAGTGACCCCTTTTACATATCCTCTGTAACTTGTCTCCTCAAAGCAATTCTGGGAGGTAATTTTTTCTCCAAAAAGAAGTTTTACCAAGTTATTAACAACACGGTGCACACACACCTTTGTGTTTATGTACGGAAAGATGTGGTGACTCTGATTCTACCCACACCCTAGCTGGCCTCAAATTGTTACCGATAAAATGGGCTACAAAGATGGCTGAACGCACCCCAGCCCCGGCGGGGAGGGGACCTGCTGCCTGGAATCCCACCTAGTCCGTCACACAGCTAGATGCCGCCACCAGAGCCCCTGCCCCGAGCCCCCGGGCACACCCCCTCCGAGGTGTCTTCATCTCAGCAGATGCCACTCGTCACCTCCTTATTCCTCAGCTCAAATCTCGGTCGGCCTTCTGGTTTCTTCTCTCTCACACATATCTACTCACTCCACTGTCAAAACATAACCTAAGAGACCGTCGCTCCTCACCAGGCCGATCAGCTCTCTCTGGTGCAAGCTGCCTCCGCCTCTTGCCCCGGTCAACGCCGTGCCTGGTGGCTGACGGGTCTCCCTGCCGCCACCTGCCCCACCGCAGTCTGTTCTCAACCCGAGAGCCGTGACGCTCTTTTACAATGTACGTTATGTCACCTTTAGATGCCATACCGAACAGCTTCTCATCTCACTAAGATATAACCAGGGTCCGAGTGGACTAAAGCAGGAGAGCTGGCCTTGGACCTCATGCCCGCTCTCTCCCTCTGAATGCCGTGCCAGCTTCCGCACGAGCTCTGCCCCCCTCGTGCCTCTGCACAAAGGTACCTCTCGGAGAGGTGTGCACACCTGCCCCAGACAAACCCCTGGCTCCCTGCCCTGGAGTTTATCCGTTTCCACCCAGGCAGGGATCTTTGCCAGTCAAGTTTACGACAAGAGCCTCAGTGCATGGCACACAGTAGCCGCTCAAATGTTTATTAAATTAACGAATCCCAACACATTACGAGAATGTATGGAGAGCACAGTCGTAACTTTTTAAAAAGTAACAAGTACGTACAAACACTCTGACCAAGCCAGAAGTGTTCTAAATATAGTCTTGACGCTTCAGTGGAAAAAAGCTTTTGAGATGTTGTTCCCTTCTTTCATAGTAAAATTTTAGTTTCGTGAACTGTTGCTACAGGAAAAAGACAAGCGTTCTTGGCGCCTTGGCCGGTCAGCTTGCTAAATGCTACGGAGGATCATGGGCACGGCTGGCATGTTAACCCAGGTGACATGTGGAAGTCACAGACAAGATCTTCCCCCTTGCTACCCTGGGGCCCTGCTGGGGACCCCGCCGGCACCCCCATGCCCCGGGGCGGGTGAGACACACAGGGGTTCCGCCCCACGCTGCTGGGCCTCTGGGCCAACACACAGGCACACGTGTGCCTTATTCTGCACAACCTCCCCGAGCGAGCTCATCAGTGGCGGGAAGGACACGCCAATACTTGAGACAACACCTTCTCCCTCACACACAGGAGGCAGAGAACGAAGCAAACACAACCTTCCAGAGTCCGTGTCGACACCTCCTACGTTACCTAACTTTACCAAGACTTTACCAGTTCTTACCAACAGACCCACGGAGAGGTCTCTGGATGTAAGTAACACACCAAATTTCATTCATAACAAAACTCCCAACATAAACACAGAAGCAATCTACGAGTCTACTGTGCATATACTTCGGTGTGATGGGGCCAAAAGATTAAAGTACTTCACGGACCTCGGAGACAGGGTAGTTAGAAAGCCACCCAGGAGCGGGAGGAGCTCGGGGCTGGCACAGCTTTTCCTACAGGAGTGAGCAGGACCTCAGGCCCACAGCCAGCGGCACAGGGAAGCGTCTGGTGCGCTAATCAACGAATCCTCGCTGTGACTAGGAAAATAAGAACAGGCCAGGGCAATACGACAATATTTTAACCCAAGCATTTGGTGTGAACTGCAGATGGGCTGAAGTCCTAGGCAACACCTAAAATGATTCCCAGGGAGACATCTGAGCCATGGTAAAACCAACTAGGTCAAGGCATCAAGACAGCGTCTCTAATCTATCGATTTGGGGGAGCGGACAGGGAATAAGCCATCTGTTATTAGTCAACTGCCTATTTTAGGAATGAATGTGTCCGAGATGCCTCTACTTAGACCTTGTACTGCGTTACATGGGGAAGTGAGCACTCTTTCTGCAGGACATTTTCCCAAGGGCAAGACCCACTGTGTTTACCAAGCTGGGTTTATGATAATGTGCCCTGGAACATGGTACCCAACCCTCCTAGGATATAACCTGAAGCTTTCTGGGCACAAACACGGAGAGCCCAGAGGCCGCAGGAAGTCTCGCTGGTGGCCTAGAATGCACAGGCACCCTTAGGAACCGGGAACCTACGTATCCCTAAAATGACTACAAAGCAAAATTCCCCACTGAAAGGACTTAAAACTGAAGGGAGGTGGTATTTAAGTCCTGGGCACGTGGGATCACGGAACTGAAGAGGTTTTGAGACATCAGCCCGAAAGTTCTCACGGACAACAGACAACAAAATTACAGAGTGGGGCTAAATCAACACGGGATATGAGCGACATCAACAAGGCTCTAGAAGTCTCACCGCTTTTGGCCAAAGAGAACTAAGCTGCTATTAGTGACAGGTGGGCCCAGGATAATCTTCCCTTCCACCCAGGTGTAAAGTCTGGACGTCAGACGTGTCTGACCCAAAAGGGCTGTACGTGAATTCTGCACTGCTTGTATACGCCCCTTCACGTAGACACACAGAACATTTACACGGAGTCACAGCCCAGGTTACTGACAGCACCATGCAAAGCAGCTGAGTGCTGTCTGAACCGCAAAGAAGGCTGTCTTTATACAGACCTGCTCACACGAGAAATCTGTTTCAATTACCAAAGACAAAGAACATGTTTTAAAAACCGCTGATAACAGCAAGTTTTACTGGACACTTTTGAAGTCTACAACCCTTTGAAGGAACACCTTTAAAGAAGTCTCCCAAAGTCACAATATTCCTAAACATTCCTTTATAAATAAGAAATATGACAACACCCCTTCAAGGAGACCACACTGCCCGCAACATTAAAAAAGAATCGAGATGGGGCTTCTACTAAATTAAATGGTTCAATTTAACAGTGCCAGAGAACAATCTCACCCTACAATAAAACCTTGATTACCCACAATTTTAAGCAATCTGATTGGGGAAGAAAGCCATCAATCCACCGTAGGTGGTTATGTTCATCAAAAATTACGTAAGTCTTCCTTGATGACTCAGGGCTGTCAAAGTGGAGGTCAGTCTCTCTGCTGGGCTATGATGCACTGAGACACTGAGGCCATCGGACGTATTTTAATTAAATGGCCTCACACAGCTCCCCTTAGTGATCTCTTAACTTCACAATCTTCCAACTCCTACTGATTCTATCATTATACCCATCCTTAACAAGCCATTACCCAACCAATCTGTGAAGAGTCTGAAAAAAGATAACCAAATTTGTTAGACAATCTACCAAATAGAAGGCAACAGCCCTTTGGGAGAGTAACACAGGATGACCTGGTGGCCGCTCTGTAGCTGCCACTTCTGTTTCCGCTCTGAGCCCTTCTGTTTCTCTCCTGTTTCTAAACTCTGCTGTGAACTGATAAGGCTGTCAGGGACCTGACCGCCTAACAGCCAAGGCGTTAGAATGTATTAGAAGCAGCTGCTGAATTTCAAACATAGAATTAAATGCCCGACACATCTACTTCTGTGTAGAGTTAAGGCCACCACCTCAATTATCAGCTGGCATGTGCTTACAAAAGGAAATGCTTTCCTTATCTTTAAAACCAAAAGCAATACTTACCTTCAATCTCAATGCATTAAAAAAACAAAGAATACATTCCAAAGTCCAATATAATTTTTAAAAATATTATCAATGCCATTATTCCCTGGCTAATGGTTCTAATGTGTTAGTTCCAAAGTCATCTACAAAATTCTCCCCCGCCCCACAGTGGGAATAATCTAAAAAGAGGGTAAACTCAACTCAGTAATATTAGAAAATATCCAAAGGCTTCCTGAGGCTTCTAACCACCCTGGCTTATCTGAGGCATAAGGCGACACACCCGACAGAGAAGGCGGGCTAGCAGCGGTTCTGTTGAGGCACTGAGGGAAATGGGGGTGGGGGTGGGGAACGCAGAGGTCGGTGGCCTCGCTGTCCCCTCTGGTCACCGCAGGCAGGAATTAGGAACTGACGAGACAAGCTGTCAAGAATATGGTGAACACTGACCTCTCTTCCTTGGTAAAGAAACATGAACTTATCCTTGGCCCCAAATTACCGAGACAAATGAAAGATCTTTCTTTCATCTCTTTCTGAGCAAGTGGGCAAAGGCCGAGAGCACTGGAGTCACAGAAACGTGACCCGGTAAAACCTACTAGATCTACCGTGTTCCTCTTGTTAGTTTCTCCCAAGGAGCTTGCGCAGAACGCCTCCCATCGCTCCCTGACTGTATCTGGAAGACCTTCGGAGGGAGAGAAAGAAAGAGGCATGGTCACTCCAGGGGCCTCAAACACAGACGCACAAAACAAACAGGAAACAGGGGGTGCACCACCCGCTCGGCTCATCGAAGGCAGATGTGCCCCATCATCTGAGCACCCGCCTCTTGGAGAAACAGAGTTATTAGGCCTTGTGGCCTGGACGTCAGTAATTTCAGGAACCAGAGCCACCCCCTCCAAAAGGTCTCTGCTTGATGCCAAGGGTGCTACGCAGCTCTGTGAATTTAACAAGTTTTAAAAACGGTAAACACTGAATCTGGAAAGCGTGTGCCCAGCGCACTTCAGAGAGAACAGTGGGTCTTTTAAGGCAGGAGGAAAAATTGTGTTTCCACGTCGTTCAAGTTTAGGAAATGCTGTAGCACAAGCTCCCGCACACCCGTCAGATGCGGTGATGGCTCCTGGAGCCTGGTTCGGCTGCTCAAATTATTCCAACACAGTGTTTCCTAAATGCTTGTGCCCACAGGCCACCACGGCAACACAGACACAGCAGTGAGACTCCACCTTCTAGAGGAATTTTAAAGAAAAGGGCACACAGATACTTCTTCCGAGAAAAGGGAACTACGGCTATAATCTTGGAACCCTGACTAGAGCTGTCGTCTGACCCTTCCGGTTCCAACAGATGTGTGTGTGCCCCTCGCATACCCCGTGATGAGCAGCTCCGGGAAAACAAAGACTGAGCCACAGGACGTAATCACGCCCATGGCCACCTCTCCAGGTGAGCACACAACCTGGGACGGCCCCGCTTGGACCTGTCTCGGGGAGCAAAGTTACAGGGGGGCAAAGCCCCAACTGATCCCACGGCCTAGAACAGCTGTTTCAGTGCACGTTCGACAGGGAACAGCCCCTTGAACACAGACATTCTTAAAAGACAAACCAGATAGACTGGGAAACAATTTCTAGTGTTCAGCAAGTTGAGTTTGGATGAATTCAGAACTACAGGGGTTGGAGATTTTCACACTCCTGGAGTTAAGTCGCAGGACCAGTCCACGCCCCGGAGTCCACAGAGCTCCTGGGCCCTCGGTGTAGAGGGGACGGACTCGTGGCCTGGGCGCCAGTGTAAAAGGCACCTGCAGCTTCTTGCCAGTAACCTCGCCTGGTAAATTTCAATGCTGGTACAGAGAGCATCTTTTAGAGTCCGCCAGCCCTCCTCTTAGGAAGAGAGACGGAAAACATGTGGATAAATGCTGTAATACCCCAGCTGAAGGAACTCAATCCACAGGCTATATACACAGGGGCCTTCAAACGTAAATAAAAAGAGCGATCCCAGCTCGTGACATAGCGGCTGGCGATGGGACGCCAGACTTGGTGGGTATGGTGAGCGGGCTCCCTGAGAGCGAGAGTGGGTGCCTTGGCCGGGCTGCCAGTACTCACTCAAAGGACTGCAGAAATAAGGAGAGACACGGAGCAAGGAACTACACTCCTCAAACAACTTCACTCAGATCTCCAGATAATTCGCGCAATATAAGGGAACTCCACAGACTGCCATTAAAAACGTTACGAAAGTTTCCACTCAATTTACCCTTAAATCCTTCCTCCAATCCAACAAAAGTGTAATTAAAATTCCAAAAGCCACTTACCTTTGATAAGCTGCTGTACTAATGCACTGTTGGGGCCCTTGTCAGTACTGTGCACGATACAGTTAGCTATCCTTGTCAGGTGTCCCATGTAGCCGTGCCGTCTGCCTCCCTCGGCCCTGACAAGGGGGAGAGGACAAATCCTCAGACTCCCGACCGGAGGGAGTCGTGAGACAGCCTGGTAAGCACAGCGGGTTGGAGTGATCATTCTAAAAACGGAGGCCCTGAAGCTGGGGATGGACGGTCACCAGGTCAGGCCAGGGTGGGGAGGGGCAGAGGCGGTCCGCTCAAGGATCACACGGTGGCCACACTCATCAAGGTCCGTTCAATATACAAACCAATCATTAACCTTCGATCATCTTAAAAAAAAAAAAAAAAAAAAAAGCCCAAACATTCACTGACACCTCATATTTCTGTGACTTGGCTTTGGATCTTTCTGTGAACAGACTTTAAAAAGGCTGAAAGCACCTAAGGTGACAATCCTGCTGCTTCGTTTTCTGAGACATCACGTCTCCACTGCGTCTACTAACAGACATAATCGTCTACCAACGGCACTTCTCGGGTTAAAAGAGCAGCCGATCTTAAGGATCTGGCCGAGGCGAGGGGCGCTCGGCTGGTCTCGGGCCCACACGGCACCTGGAACCCGGGTACAGAAACCACCCCCGTTGCTCTCCCCCGTTTAGGGCCTACCCTTCCTAACCAGGACCCACCGTTACCAAATCCGTCCATGTCGATACACTTCTCACATCGCTGTGATTCTCTGCCTGTTTACAAAGGGTCAGGACTTAGATTTTTGCTTACAGGGAGAATCTTTCAGGGGCCACTAAAAAAGCCATACTGCGCTTGAAGGCTTTTCTGAGAAAGAGGGTATCTGCTAAGAATCTTAAAGGGTCTGGAAACAGCTAAGGGTCAGAAGACAGAGTTGATCTCAAGTGAGTTGTTAAGAGCCTCTCCTGGCTTCACAGTAAGATCCCGAGACCCCGGTGTTCCTCACAGGCAGCTTCCCGGTCAGACCCCGTGCGGTGCTCCCACGAGCTCCCGAGGGAGCTCAAACGCCCACCCGCTGGGGTTTTGCTCCAAGGCTCCTGATGTTCTTTTGGCTTCTGGGGCAAGGAAACGTTAGGAAAGCTCGTTCCGGAACCCCCAAGGTGGGGGGACTGTAACAGTCAAGCCTCTGAAGGATGGAGCTTAGGGGAAACAGCATACCCGACACCTCTGCACTGGCGATGAAGAGGCTGAGAACAAGGGAGGTTGGGGAGGGCACTAAGCTGCTAACGTGGGGCCAAACACAGACCCAGAGAGGCTGATCTGGCCAGACACAGCACCCCCACAGGAGCTCCTGGAGTGGAAGACTGGACCCGAGGCCCACCAAGACGAGCCTCGGACGAAATGCAGGTTTTCCAGAGTCCAGTCACAGCTCTATCAGTGCCAGTGAGCACTTCCGGAAACACCAAGCCCGACAAAATAAAGCTGACCCCTCCCTTTAGTTCCTAGCTCTCCCACAGGCCGCAAGAGGAGTCTGAGCAGAGACACAGAGCAAGAAGCCTCCCGGCACGGGCTCAAGCACGAAGGCGCACGGGACGGCCTTCTGGGCTGATGGAAACGCTCCATGCCTCGAGCGCAGCGCTCCCGCCACCGCACGTGTTCGTCAGAGCTCCTAGAAATGCACGCCCAGAAAGGATGGAGTCCCACCTTACAAGAATTATACCTCAATGCACCTGACTTAAAAGCAAACGCAAGAAGTGGGCCCTGAGAGGGTCTTCCACGCACGCCCTGCGACCGGCCTCCTGTGAGATGGCGCCAAAGCCCCCAGGGCCCGAGGGAGGAAGCGGGGTGTGCGGCAAAGCGCCTGACGCGTGTCAGCCATCACTTCAGGTAATCGTGCCCGTCAGCTGACGGAGATTTTCTGAACACAAAACGCTAGGGCAGTCGCCGTCCCCTCTTCAGTCAGGAAGTGCCCTTCTCCGTGGCAAGAACACAGGGTGACCTGAACTTGAAGCATCATCGGGGAGGCCTTGACTTGAGGACTTTTTTTCTTTCCTACTGTCAGTGGAACAGCTATTCAAAAAGGTCCCGGAAGTTTCAAAGGCAGCTAAACCCTGGGTTCCCCTCAAGAGAGCTAGAAAGACAGGGGGGATCTAAAAATAAATGGCTACAATGAAATAATCTGGAGAGAGCCATTTGTAACTGGAAGCTGGTCTGTACCTCGTAGTTACTCTCACTGTTCTCTCAGGCAAGGGAGGGTGTTTTCTTCAAGCTAAAAATCAGACAGATTTCCTCTCAGAAAACGGCTTACTTACTGTTTCTTCTCATTCATTTCCCAGGCGTCAAGTATTCGTTCTATTAACTGACATTTTTGAAAAAGCTGAATAAAAAGGAATATTCCAGTTAACATTTATGTAAATAATGTCAAAGCATCAAAGTTCTAAAGTGAAACAGAACCCTACTCAAATAGAACGGTGACATGTTATCACCCAGCAAGCTGTGAATTACCGGCTAACTCCTCTGCAACGTGGTAACAGATTCACGCAAGGCCCTCAGACAAACGCTACGGGGATCGAGACGGGAGCCAGGCCTCCAGCACTGTAGCTGCTGGGGAACAGCGACACTGCGGGTGCCGCTCCACTGAGTAGCTGACCTAAAGCAAAGCCAGGTTTCATGAGCCATGAAAACTGGCTAATAAATTCAAAAGAATACGGCAGATTACACCCTGGCAAAAATCTCTCAGAATCCGCAGCAATCCCTGTGCTTTTGAAGCCCGGGTCACGCTCGCTTCCGCACCCGTTGCCATCGCTGTCGGGATGCGCGATGCAGTTGCACCCAAGGTCATGGTCTTTCCCTTCGACCTGGTTGAGCCAGCTTCTCCCAAGTCCCCGGTTTGCGAGTAACCCAGCGTGAGCTAGAAAACTTCGTACAACCACAGAACTTCGGAGCAAGAAGAAATCTGAAGACTGACTTAGTAAAATCACCTCGTAGTTAACAAAAGGAAGCAGGGCCACAGAAACGTTTCGCTCGTTACTGCACGCAGCCCGCTCCTGCCAACCTTCATTCATGTATTTAGCCTACAAATTAAAACCGGCAAGCCGGGGCGCCTGTGTGGCTCAGTCCGTCGACTCCTGCTTTTGGCTCAGGTCAGGATCTCACGGTTCAAGAGTTTGAGCCCCGAGTCAGGCTCGGCGTTGGCAGCATAGAGCCTGCTTGGGATTCTCTCCCTCCCCCTTCTCTCTGCCGCTTCCCTGCTTGCACACTCTCTCAAAACAAGTAAGCACACTTAAAAAATTTAAAACGCTGGTCAAACGCTTTCTGCAGACTTTAAAACAAGAGAGTTAACTATCTGGACTCTGAAATTACCTCCCTGCCCTTCGACTAATTCACTTCACACTTATCAGGAGCAGCAGAAAAGAGACACCAGTAAGCTTACGTGTTTCAGTAACAAATTGTCACCGGCGGAGTCTTGATCGGTAATGGTGTTATTTTCTGTATTTTCAAAAGGACTTGCGAGAATCAGTGCGATACAAATTTCCACTTGAGTATGTAAAAAGTTATTCCATGTATATTTGAAGAACATGTCCTACAAAAAAGAAAAAGCAATGCTTGCTTTTATTCGGTTGCCTCAATGTTGAAAGCCACTACTCTAACACACTTCCCAAAGAGTGACTTAATAAAGTGGAAATGATATGTTCTTAGTTCAACAGGACTATTTAAAAGGAAAACAAGTTTACTTTAAAGGGCTTGAAATGCCACTACGTACACTGAAGAGCATGATACCTGCTCATTCAACATGCCAGCAATTGCATGGAATCTAGCAGAAAACAACAAGGAACATAGGAAAACAACAGTAAGCTTCTGAAAGAGAAGATCTTTTTACATTTTCAAGGTAACTAATACAGGCATTAAGTTCAGTAAGCGTCCGATAACTTTTAAAGAAATGTTTAAGAATTTTATTTTGAGTCAACAAACCTGTACTGATGGCTTTTGTGCAGGGCACAGTGCTAGAGGCCATACAGGAGACAGGGACAGACAAAAAGATGGTCTCCAATCTCAGGGTGCTCACACCTTAACAAAGAATAAGCACTCAGGCATTTGAAACTCATGGAACTATTAGCGAATGGAGTAAAACAAGAGAGCTCTGGGAAGCAGTGACGTGCGGACCTCCAGAAAGCACATGGGTTTCCCAGATTGCTCGAAAAGCTGACAGTATCACAAAAAGGAAAGACAATTCCTACAAACACAAAATCCATCATGTATACATATATTCAGGACATGCTTTGAGTCTGGTTACCTCAACTCAAAACCAGGTAACGATTCATGACCCATTTAGGAGTTTTATCAAATTTGCTGTCCTTCAAAAGTAGTTGGGTACTCACTATCAGTAAGATCAGAGGCTAGTGACTGACGACTTCAGGGACAGGAGTAGAAACTTATGTTGCTATAATTTTATACACCAGCCAGAGGGTAGGGCAAAAACTGTCCCCAGACAGCAATGGTTGTTATTTCACCAAAGAGACTGTAGTTCTGTAACGTTTTATCCACTCCAACATGTTCCTCCTCTCTATTCCTACACTGTCGTCATTTTACCCAAAGCTGAAACGCAGCTAAAAATATCTTAGTGACATCAGGTGGCATTAACAGTGTGGCTGATAAAGCCCACGTCAGTTTGAAACTGGATGTGAATTCAAATCTTGGTTCCACCACTTATTAGCCATAGAATGTGTCCCGTCTCTGGGCAAGATGTGAAAAGCCGACCCTCTCTCTCGCACAGGCATTTATACCCAGCATCACATGAGAAATGGAAGGAAGTGCAAAGAGTGTGCAAAAAGCCCAAACTTCCCCTTGTGTACGGCAAGGCCAGATGGCTCATGAAACCCGCGAAGTGTTAACCCCGTGCCTTCTATGCCCTGGGGTGGCAGGGGCACCAGAGCTGGGCCTGGAGATTCTAAGCACAAACCTTGGAACTGGGGAACCTGAGGGTCAAGGGAGTCCAGATGATTCCTGGGCTCTCCCTTTCCCCTTCCACCAACCACAGACTATAGTTGTATCAGGGAAGAATCTGGACTCAACTTAAAAGACCGCATATCTGTCAGGGGAGAGAAGATGAACACTTGTCCCTTTGCTAATTACAAACGGAACACGGTGCTGTAACCAGCAGTCATTTCTAGCTAACAGCTCCCCCGAGGGACAGGACTGCTCAACCACCTGTGCCAGACTGAGATTCTGGAGGGAAAGTGGGTCTTAATCATCTATGAAATCTCTAATATACGTCTTTACATGCAGCAATAATAAATACCGAAAACTTAAAAACTGACGATAAACTCAAGGCAAAAACTACATAAAAGACCGTTTGTGCTCAGAACCAGGAAGTCACTGACAGACTGTAGATGCGTGAGGTTTTTCACTTGTGCGAGTTGTAGGTCTACAAAACATCAAGGGCAAATTAAATGACCTTTTGGGGGAAATCTTACCAATATGACCCCGACGCTATTCAGCTCCATAAGGTCCCCATTGATACTGCTGGTATTTGTCTGCAGGAGGCTGGATATCAACCTGATCACATTCAGTCGGGTGTTGCCCACGGGAGGGTCCAGCACACCCCACGTAGTTTTCATCACGCTTTTCTGAGGACGAAAAAGCTTTCCAATTAAATCCAGCTCAGTAAACAAGCAAAAGGGTGGAGGGGTACGGGCGAATATGCACGCCACGTAAACTCCCCCTGCAAACACTGGGGCCTGAATCCTCCATCTGACGGAAAACCCAAAGCCACTTTTGCCATCTTGAAGATACGATGAAATAACCAAGAGGGGGGGGGAAATCGAGTCATTTCCCTGGAGTGTACACTTTTTAAGTAAGAAACTGAGTATCCCCCTGCTTCGACAACGCAAAGTGCCGCAGGAAGACCGCAGAACGCTACACTCAGGGGGAAAAAGGTGAGACATTCCAAACCTGGCCGGAAATCTCGAAACTAAGACATGTGACAGGTGGTTTTGGAACACAGTCCCCAATCTTTGCAAAATCCGAGAACGAGGCAAGCTCAAAAGCTGTCCCTGGGTCACAACCTTGAAAGAGGATCAACTTCGAACCTGTACCTGCCCATAAAAGGGAGTCTCTACACTTTGAATCACAAGAGACAGACACAGGACACTTGGGACTTTCACGAACCCCCCAGGAAAGGGTGGCGAATCCTCAGCCGGCAGTGAGGCCGCCCTTTCCCCACGTCCCGCGCCGCGCCTCACACCCCCCTGCTCCTCTCAAGGCTGCGGGGAACTAGAAGCTTCAGCCTCTTCCTCCAGCTGAGGTAGCTCTAAGTAACGACACGTTAAAACCTTCAAGGGTCTAACTCACGCCGCATCCTCTAGTAAAACCACGTACAAACTGACCTCCCAGACTCCTAGCAGTGACAGAGCGGAAGTCCAAACGGG